TCTCTTTTTTCAGTGTGCTAAATGACGAAGGAGCTTGGCGGTCAGAGCATTGGTTAGTTCAGACATGTTTATAAATTGTATCATTATTCTATCAGTCGCAGATTCAATATGAAATTTCGAAATCCAAATTCCTAATTACTAAATAAAACTATTTGCCGGTTTTTTTAATTTTAGCTTTTGTGAAAAAGTAGACCCCAAATATAAATTTCGTTTTGCTAGGAAACCTCCCTTGCCTTTGGCTATATGTAATCGTGGTTCAAGGGCTGAACCTGAATTGCATTGATTTAGTCAATGAGCGTTTCCCTGTTAGTGTGTGTGTATGTTTGCAGTCCTGTTTGGATGATATGCATAGCCCAGTAACATTTTGAGGTTACGGTAACCCGGAAAAGTAAGCTTAAATTCTTCATCTAGTCTCACTCAACTAAGCACGCTTAATTATCTTAAAAACCTGTCAAGAGTGCTTTGTTACTATGCCCTTAAGTCCGATGCAGTGGAGCTGGGCTTAGCTGAGGATGGACATGCTGTAACCATCCGTGCGTTGGTTGCGTTGTCTCAAATATGCTATTTTTGATTTAAATCAGAATAGGTTGGTCTTATGATGATAGAGTCTGGGGTATTTGAATACAACAACTAATGTTTTTTTTGCATCAGAGAAGAGATTAAGAACTTTATCCATCTTTGGTCGTTTAAGATGTTGTAGTAAAATCAGTAGCTCTCACTATTCTATAGGGCTCCACAAAGCTTTGTCATCCAGGCTGAACTAAAAACTCGACCTCGCCTGGATCCCATTGGCACTATCAGCAGGATTCGAAACCGAGTTTGTATAAAGTCGCAACAAGTTACAACACAACCACGAGTTTCACTGGGTCTTGGGATATGCGACTTTAAAGGCAAACAAGTACTCTCCCAAATCATATTTATGTTGATATTAAGAACTTAGTAAAATTTATTCGTATCCTAAGGTCTTTTCATCTTATGCGACCTATTGCTGTTCTTTAAGATCTAATGAATGTGCCTAAATCTGATCATTTAGCTCACCTAATGTTTGCTCAACCAATTCATTGTTACAACATTATGTCCATCAATTGTTGATAAGGCAGAGTATATTTGTTCGTTTGTGAATCCGACCCACCGCAATCTTGGTCTTTGGTGAACATTGCAGTGGTCTCAAAATCAATCTTCAGAATTATCTTATGAATCCAGTTGTACCTTAATTGCAGGGCTAGACTAGCTCTATCCATTTCCATACATATTGCCCGTACTATATTCATTTATTTTTCATCTTTACCTCCCGTATTATTTTTTATCTCTATCACAGGCTGCGAGCTCAGTGGACTAACAAGCTCTGTAGGTGGCCTCAGCCTACACGAAGCCACAGAAGGGACTGCAGTCGGCCAGCAGGGCATCCGGTATGAAGAAATTCGCAGCTTTGTCGACCTTTATCGCCAGCTTGTAGGAGCCTCTTGCCATGAGAGCCTTGACCAAATTGGTGGGGAAGATGAAGGGACGGAACAGAATCAGGAAACGGCGAAAAATGAGCATGAGGGCATCCATAGTGATCGGCTCATACCAAGTATGACCACTAATATGGCCAATGGAGTGCTCTCCCCGTAAGGCCGGTTTCTCATTTAATTTCTATACGCAGCTAACTTGAGTTGCACACGTCGTCCAGATTATAATGAAAGCATTAGACCCATATATTTATACATGCAAGTATAAAGCGGTTTTTCGTTGAGTAGGTTTTTTCAGACTACTGGTAAATCAGATATATGAGCTGTTTTCACCATTTTTCGTTTAAGATCATAAACGGACTAGTAGTCAAATTTTCCAACAATTGCACGAGTATATATGACGTTTCCGTTGAATTTCATATAGCCTTGACTGCAGTTCACAAAATAGGATGATCGCAGCTTTATTTAGATGAATAGTTATGCTAGTATAAATAAAAACGTTATAATAAAAGCAGCAACTGCCCAACTAATAGTTTTTGTAGTTTTCAGCTGAGCACTTGTTAGACTAGTCTAGGGTTGAACTTGATTTCATGTAATTTCAATTTTAATTGAAAATTGGCTTAACTATAATCATTACTCGAAGGTATGCAGACCAAGATGGTGTGGGCTTTTGTGTGGTCGCAGTCTCCTTTAATTGTATATTAGTAAGGGGACGAGAAGGCCAACTTGGGTTGTGGAGAGTTCTCATGAGATCCGTTAAAAAGTGCACACCATACCACTTTTAAATAAGTAATTAAGAAATTGTGTAGTACGAGGATACATAATTGGTGATTAGTCCAGGGCGGAAGGAGAGATACCACTATTGTTTAGCAGACAATTGGTCAAAGGATCGGCTTCATTTGTCTTTTTGACGAGTTGTAGTGTGGTGCTAAGAATAGCAAGGCTCACTGACGATGCCGGTGGAACGTCTGGGAATGTACCACGCCCACTGTCCGACTGGGAATTATCATGCATGCAATAAACTCCGGACTAGATGCGTTTCTCTAAGTCTTCCTAACAATATGACCAAGTTGCGAAAACAAGGTCAAACAACTTCTATAATAATTACTATTTAATCCACATAATACTAACATGTTTTTCTTGAAAGTCTTGTAAATGCGCTTAAAACAAAAGCTAATTTAATTTGAATTAAGCGAAGAGTCAGACACTCGTAGGGGTCGATTGCTGTTTTTATCTGAATATGGTAAAATATATTTATCGAAGGTATGAAGACCAAAAGGGTGTAGCCTTTTGTGTGGTCGCAGTCTCCTTTCGTTGTATACAAGTTGTTTGACCTTGTTTTGGCAACTCGGTCATATTAGTAGGAAGACTTAGAGGAACGCATCTTGTCCGGAGTCCATTGTATGCAACATTATTTCCAGAGTAGGACCGTGGACGTGGTACATTGCCAGACGTTTCGCCGGCATCGTCAGTGAGTCTCGCCATTCGTAGCACCATATTACAACTCGTCAAAGAGACAAATGAAGCCCATCCTTTGACCAAACGTGTGCCAAAAAGTTATGATATCTCCCCTTCTGCCCTGGACTATTCACATTTCTTATATTCTCCTAGCCACAATTTTTACTGTGCTTATTTTGATGTCATTCGGTGTGCTTCTTCGAGCGGCATTCATGAAACCTTTCACACTCCACACTGTCGTTATCACCCCCTTTACTCTTGTGCTGGGAATTTTGACCAGAGTCTATCATATTGTTACGTAGTCCTTCCCTGGGTCCTATCAAAGTCTCCCTCTTGCCCCGT